GGGTCCCCATCATCTCAGACCCCAATATCTCAGGTTCCATTCCTGGGACCCCTGAACCTCCAACCTCTGCCTCCTGGGTCCCCATCATCTCAGACTCCGATATCTCAGGTTCCATTCCTGGGACCCCTGAACCTCCAACTTCTGCCTGCTGGGTCCCTATCATCTCAGACCCCAATATCTCAGGTCCCATTCCTGGGACCCCTGGACCCTCATCTACCACCCCCTGAGTGTCCATCACCTCAGAATCTGCTATCTCAGGATCTATTCCTGGTGCCCCTGAACCTTTATCTGTCACCTCCTGGGTCTCCGGTACCTCAGTGTCTGCTGCCGCAGTCTCTCTCCCAGGAACATCTGGCCGCTGTGCCTCGGTGTCCTGTGTCTCTGGTATCTCAGACTGCACTGTCCTACTCTCTGCTTCCAGATTCATTATATCTCTAGTTGGTATATCCAGGGTCCCCAGTATCTTGGCCTTTGTCTCCTGTACCCCTGAGGCTCCCACCTCTGCCTCCTGGGCCCCCAGTCTGTCAAACTCTACTACCTCAGGTGCTATCTTCAGTGTCTCTGAACCCCCCGAGACTTCCTGGGCCGTCAACATCTCAGGCTTTGCTGTTCCAGCCTCTGTCCTGAGGGTTCTTGAAGCTCCCAGTTCTGTCTTTTGCAGCCCCAACATCTCTGCCTCTGCTGTCCTAGCAGCCTCTGCTCCCTGGACCCCTGAACTTACTCCTTCCTGGGTCCTCAGTACCTCTGACCCTGCCATCTCAGTTTCTGTTCCCAGGATGCTTGAATCTCCTGCCTTCCAGAGCCCCAGCATCCTAGATTCCACCCCCTGGTCAGCTACTGGAAGGACCCCCTGGGGCCTGGCACTTGCTGTTTCAACAGAAGGGCCCTGGTCCAGACCTGTCCCTCCAACACCAGGGGCGCCACCTGTGCCCTCTCTCTCCTGGCCTGCAGCAGCCCCAACCCTCTGGAGGTCTCCAAACTGACTGGCATGCCCCATGGGCTCTGTCGGGGGTGTGCTCAAGCCTGTGGGTGCCTCACCCATGGTCCTGACCCCCAGCTTCCCCTGAGAACCCCTGGGAGGAGCTGCAGGTGGCCCCCGGAGTCTTGCCTCCGCATTGGCCCTGGTGGCCTCTGGTCCCTTCGTGTCCACAAGCCTCACCTGGGACCTCTGCTCAGCATTAACTTGATCATCTGTTCTCGCTGCGGCCTCCCCAGCTCCGACCACTGGCCTCCTCGTGTCCGCCTCTCCGACCCCCGACCTATGCTCGGTGTCCACCCCTCTGGCCTCTGGCCTGTGCTCAACACCCTCCTCCTCAACCTTGGGGTTCTGCTCTTCCAGAGAGTGTCTGCTGCCCTCATCTTCAACATCTGCGCCCAGCTTGGCTGCCTGAGCCTCTGTCCGTTCCTGGGGCTCTGCCTGGGCCTGGGTCTCCACAGCAGAACCCACCCCCGCTGAGGGGGTGCCTGAGGCTTTGAGGACCTCATCTTTCCCTTGGGGGACTGGGGGCTGAGGGGCATCAGGGATTTTCCGAAAGCGAGGGGCTGGAGTGGGGATGGTGTCCGAGCCTGGCTGCCTTGAGGACCTGAAGAGAGAACAGGATAGGGTGTTGGGGGTGCTCACTAGGCCCCGACTCTCAGCCCCATTCCTACCCTTCAGACTCATGGGCCCTGGAGAGGCAGGTGGGCAGGTTTTAGGATGGGGCTGGTTCCCAGGCGCACCTTGTCTCCAGCGGGGTTCCTGGGGGCCTGGGGACTTCAGGCCCCACCTGGCCCCCTGTGACAGCTGCCTCTGACCCCTGGTCCCGGGAGGCCCTGGCTGGGGGCACAGGGCCACTCACAGGGGCTGAGCTGGCATCCTCAGCTTTAGAGGGGCAGGCGGCTGGGGAGGAAGGCAGGGAGGGCATGCTGAGGCCTGGCCATCAAGGGGAGCTGAGTCCAGGCCCCAGCACTCCAGCCCGGCCCTCACCTGGCTGCTGAGGCTGGCCTCGGCCCTCTTCTTCCTCCTCACACAGTGTCTTCAGCTCCCGAGCGGGCTCTGGGACAGACAGTAAGGGGACAAGAGTCAGTCTAGGACAAGGCCTTTGGATCTGACCCCCGCCCCCACCAGAGTGCCAGGCCTACCTGGGAGACACCCCAGCCTCAGGGCACCGCCCCGGCCTACGAGAAGAGACAGGCCCACAGGTGCAGAAGAAAAGGAGAGAAAAAGACCACAGGAAAGAGAGAGCGAGCGAGTGAGTCTTAACCAGGTTCAAGGAGGAACAAGGAGGCTGCTCAGTGAGCTGCTGAGGACGGTGGAGAGGGCAGAGGGGTGTTGGGGCCAAGGGCCCACGGGATTCCACTGAGAATGAGGGGATCAAGCTTGGCCAGTCAGGTTGCTGGGCATGCCAGGAGAAGCCGGGGTGGTGATGAGCGCCCACCACTGGGCATGTTCACACTGGCCCTGCCCCACACGTGGAGCACGTGACCCAGGGAGAACCCCACCCTCCCTGCTGATCTCACCTGGAGGGGGGACCCGGGGCCGCGCTGCCTCCTCCTCGTCACTCTCAGCAAAGTCATCCAAGTTGCCCACATCGCTAGGCTTCACGCTCATGAGACTCGCCAGGCTCTGCATGTCGTCATCCCTGGGGGTCAGAGGTCAGCGATGAGGCTAGCGGCCGAGGGGCGGCCTGGGCAGAGGGTGGCGGACGGGCACTCACGTGGCGCGGCCCTCCCGCAGCAGGACCCCTGAGAGGGTGAGGCTCAGCTCCGCGTGTACCACCTTCACCGACTTGGCCTTCATTCGCAGACGCAGGGGCACCTGGGTGGGCACGGGTCCCGCATGGCGGGCCAGGTCCACATCGGCTGTGGCCAGCACCTTCCGCTGCCCTTTGGACTCCTGCAGGCCAAGCAGGAGTTTCAGGTGGAAGAGACTCACAGAGGGCCCAGGACGGAGACCCCCTCCTAGCCAGCCCCAGGCCACTCACATTCTCAATGACAAATGTCCATTCTTTGGCTTCATACTGGTCCACGTGAGGGTCCTGGATAAGGGGGACACTGGTGAACAGGGGCTCTGGGTGGGGAAGTGTGAAGCCCAGGCCTGGCTTGGTGGGACTTGGCCTACACGGTGTCTTCTCTGCTTTCTGGGGTGCTCCCTGTTCCACTGACCCCAGATCTTGCAGGTCAGGTGAGGAGACCTCCCACGGAGCAGCCCCACGATTGAGATTCCTCGCTGGCAGGATAGCAAACGGTGCCCACCCGGTGTGTGCTAGAGGCCAGGGCTTACCCTGTACAAGGTCACTGCAACGTCCACGTTCTCCGGTACCATCCACACCACAGTGCCCCGGTATGGGTTCTGGATGCCTGGCTGCCAACTGTGGGCCTGCAAAAGACAGGCTGAGACTCCAAATACTCCACACCCTCACCCTAATCCTGGCCCAGAGTCCTCGCCCTTGCTTGGGTTGAGGAGGACTCACTGCTCCAGCAGCCTTTATCCATCCCAGGCCACTCCTGCCCCAGCCCCCAGCCCCTCCTACCTTGGAGCAGATGCGGCGGTTCCGACGGGTCCATACCACCACCAGCTTATCCGGCTGCCTGGGTTGGGGTTGAGCAGGGCAGGTACTCAGCTGGGATCCCCAACCTTCCTGCTCCTCCTCCTCCCTCTCCTTTAGCTCCCTCGGGGTCTTCCTTCTGCCCAACCTGGTCCCCCAGGGCCTCCTAAGGCAGCCCCTTATCTAAGGCCACAGGGTGCAGGGTGGGGCTGCAGAGGCAGGGTGGGGCACAAGGGCAAAGGGTCCAGCAGGGTGAGCTAAAAAGACAGAGCCACAGCCACAGCTAGAGCGCCAGGGACATGCACATATCTGCACACGTGCCTCCAAAAAGCCCAGACACAGGGTGAGAGCTAGGGACAGTGTCAGAGACAGTGTGATCCTTCACACATGGCTGGAGTGCCCCTACTCAGCCCAGCTCTGAGGACAGCAGGGCAGGAGGGGCAGGGCACTGTGAATGTGGGGGGTAGGAGTGTGTGTTTGTGTGTCCCATCCTGGGTTTGAGGACCTTACAGTGGGGAAGGGCACAGCCAGAAGGAAAACAATAGGGGATTCGTTTCTTTGGGGCATAATGAGCAGCTCACAGCCAAGGGTGTGCTGAGAGCCACGTGGGTTCCCCTCGAGGCTGAGTGAGGCTTGTGAACCAGGTTCCCTCCCTGTGAGACATGAGAGGCGGTGGAACCTGTGAGGTTCTGGGGAAGAAGACTCCAGAGTGAGGGGATGTCGGTGTGAGGGCCCAGCAGTCAATCTGTGATTCAATGACTGTCTTCTGCCGGGAGATGGTGACAGCAGAGCCCAAAGGACACCCCCGGTGGGGGGGTTCATGTAAGCTGAACAGCCAGGGCAGAGGCAGACAGACAAGGTGGCAGAGGCAAAGGAGAGGATGGCACGTGAAGTGGCAGCACACCTACTACCCAAGAGGGAGGGGACAGCCACGTGGGAGCGGGCAGTGCCCTTTCCACACCGGGATACCCTGGTGTTACCCACTCATTCCTCCCTGGAGGTTGAGTCCCCTGAGGGTGCTGAAGCCTGGAGAGGTTGCAGTCCAGGTAAGGTCACAAGGCCTGGCCTGAAGCCCTCTGCCCTGGAGTCAGGCTCCCCTCTCTGACCTCAAACTGCAGGCACTAAACCAGCAAGGGAGCGGTGGGACCTTCCCAGAAAGGGGAAGTGACCAGGGGGTGTCTGGGGAGCGTGGCGCCTGGCTGGGCAGCCTGACTCAGACTGGGCACACCCTCCTTGGGAGCTGCGACCTGGGCAGGGGCAGCTTCCCAGCCTGGGCTCCGGGCTAAGAAGCCCAGGAGGCCCTGCCTGTTGCCAGTGACTCAGCCACGCTGACACAGCCTGCACCCTTGGCCTGCTCTCTGGGACCAGAGTCCCTGTGGCCTCACCCAGGATGCTGGGGCAGAAGCCAGTGTCCAAGTCCCAGCCCTGTGCTGTGTGACCCCAGCCAGCCTCTACCCTCTCTGGGCCTCTTCCAAATAAAGCGGGCAGTTCCTGGCTTGTCTGGTGTAGGCAAGACCAGGGAGGTGGCAGCTGCCCACAGGACCCCAGCCTCCTGTTCACTTCCCTCCCTTTGGCCCCTATGGTCTCTTCCTGCCCGGGCCCTTCCCCTCTAGAGCCTAAATTTAGCCCCGCCTGGCGGATGAGGCCCCCACAGCTGTGCCCTAATCCCGCCAAGGGAAGCTGACACCAGCGAGTGGCTTATATTTAGGGTGTGACGTAGGGGTGGGCAGCTGCAGTGGGGGCATATGAAGGAGTTCTTCGTGGTCCGGGCCAGGTCTGCACCCCCTCCTACCTCCAGACCCCTTCTCCTGAGACCTGCTATCTCCTCGGCCCTCTGCCCCTTTAAATTGGCTCCCGCCTCCCTCTTCATCCCTCCCTCACTCAGTTTCCCCTTTTAAGGACATTCTCTGGCGGTTTCCAGGCTCCCGGTGCCCTCTCTGGCTGAAGGGGGGGGGCCCTCTGGCCCAACACATGAGCAAAAGAGGAGCTAAAGGGGCGCATTCTAGAGACCCGGCCACCTGCAAACCTGTTCCCTTTTCTGATGTCACCCATCTTGCTGCCTGGGGACGTATGGTCTGCCTGCCCCGAGTAGAGTAAAGTGGGACACCAGATGGCATTCTCAGATCTGGGGTCCTGGGCCTTACTCCCCAAAAGCTGCAGCACCCCCAATTTGCCGCAGCATTTTAAATTTTAGCTCCTGGGGCACCAGGATCTGAGCTGGGGTGGGGGCCTCTCTGGTCACTGAGGCCTTAACAGGCAGGATGGGGTCCCAGCGTGTCCTGGGGCTGTCTCCCAGGTCCTTCCCTACTCACCATTTCTTGGTGCACTCCACCACCAGCTCATGGTAACAGGCCACGAACTGGAATTTGGCGGCCCGCTTGCCCACTCGCTGGAGGCGCTTCCACACCGAGGTCATGGTCCTCGCCTCCTGCTCCTTAGGCTCGGGGCTCCCGCTGGCCCACGGACGCTGACCCTGCCTGTGTCCCCATGACCCCCAGGGCCCCTGTTGGAGTTGCCGGCCCCGACGGCGAGGAGGTGTCCCGAGATTCAGACTCAGGAAAGCGCCGCGGTACCCGGTGCTCCGGCGCGTCGGGTCGCAGAGCCCGGAGCGCAGCGCGCCGTTTCCTGGAGCCGCACCCCCGACGGAAGGCGGGCGGGGCTCCGGCGGGGCGGAGGCCGGCGAGCGGGGGCGGGGCGCTGCGGCTTCCGGGGCCTCGCGCCTCGACCTGGGAGAGGGGGTGCCGGGCGGGAGGGCGCGCCGGCGGGCAGGGCGAGCGGGCCCGGGAGAGGGGACCGGCCCCTTGGTGCCGCCCTCGAGGTGCGGCCCGGCCTCCTCCCTTCCTGCCGCTGCCCGCGGAGGTCCAGGCTGGCGGCCTCATTTCAGGGCTGGAGGAACACTCAGAAAGGGAAAGGACTTCACCCCGAGACATAAAGCGAGTCCTGCTGCCATCCCACATCTTAGCTTGAGCGGGAACGAGCAGACAGGACACTTTGGTAATGACCACACCTGGCCCCAACCTGCCACAAACAGCTGGAGGTTCAAATCCCGGACTCCAGCCGGGAAAGTGTGAAGTTAGGAAAAGCACAGACACCTAAGCTTCAATTTCTACCCCTATGAAATGGGGACAATTACAGTTCCCCTTTTTATAGTCTTCAAAAGGATGAATAATAGGATGCATGTAACGCGTGGCCTGACTGATTTGGCGAGTGCAATAAATGGAATCCGTTATCAAGCGCAGGAAGGCGCGTGTGCGTGTGCGCGTGTGTGTTTATTTACCCTCCCTGCCCAGTTGTAAACCCCCATCATCTCACACCTGGATTAGAGACCTATAGATGCAGCCCACGCCCTGGATGCTAATAAGCGCCTGAGGGCCAGGAATTAGAGCACCTCAACGTGTCTCCTCCCCCCACCCCCATCCCGCTCGGTGTTTGGCAAGCTTAGAGAGCGGATTGATCGACACAACCCGGCGAGACCCATACTGAATTCGAGCAGGAAGTCTGATCTGCCAGAGGGCTAGGTGGCTTTTGGAGCAAAGGCCTGGCTGCAGCAGGGTATGGAGACGAGAGGCAATCACGTCGTGGGGGTGTGGTGTACATGGGAGCCTGCCCGCCCGCTGGCCCCGTGTAAGCAGGCTTCTTCCGGTCGGGCCTGACACAGGAGTCTTGGATTCCAGTCCCAGCGACGTGGCCCGACGGAGGAAACCTTTTACGTGCAGCCCCGGGGGCCTGAAGCTGCAGGCCGGGCGGTGCCACGCTAGAAGCCCCAGATCCCGGGGAGGCCCTGTCCACCCACTTCACCTCTTCGGCCAATGCAGTGTTTTCTTCCCACCCACGGGACTCAGCTCCCGGGGCTCTTCCTGGCGCGCCCTCCCCTCTCCCGCCAAGGGGCCCCTCTGGCCGCTGGCTGCAGCCCACCCATTTCCTGTGCCGCTTCAACTCCGCCCCACTCCGGTGGAAAGTTTCTCTCAAGATGGGCGGCTCCTTCCCCTTCCTTCCCCGCCGGCAGGGAAAGCCCGGGGGCCTGGCAGGGGTAGGGGCGGCCAGGAGAGGCCTGGGCTCCGGGAAATGACTTGTTCGCAGTGACACCGCGGCCGGAGGCCCCGCCCGCGCAGAAAGAGCGCGCACTTGGCCTGCCCCGCCCGCGCAGGAAGAGCGCGCACTTGGCCTCCGAGTGTTTCTTCCACTCCCGGGCGCCACCTGCCGGCGGACCGCAACTGTCAGAAACTTCGTTATTCCCGCCCCAGAGCCAGGCAGGCAGAACACAGCAACGCTCAGAATATTTATTGATCGATGCACCAGGAGTATTAAGGAGTAATGATGTCAACTTGAGGACTAAGGTGCGTCTGGTTGAGGCCATAGTCTTTCCAATCATTTGCTATGCATCTGAGGGCTGGACAATGAATAGGGATGACAGAAGAATTATTGATGCCTTTGAGCTGTGGTGTTGGAGAAGAGCACTGAACATCCCCATGGATGGCCAAAAGAACAAACCAATATGACTTGGAGAGGGTGCAGCCAGACAAGGATGATGAGGCTTTGCCTCACGTACTTCGGGCATGTTGCTAGGAGGGGCTATTCCTTGGAGAGGGACATGATGCCCGGAAGGGTAAAGTGTCAGTGAAGGAGATGACAACCCCCAACCAAGTGGACTTACACAGTGAATGCCACAATAGGCTCTAATGTGTCAGGAAGTGTGAAGATGGTAGAGTTCAGGTCTGTTCAAAGGGTGGCTGAGTCGGACTCGACTCAGAGAGCGGCACCTAGCAATGCACCAGGCGGCTAGCCCCTAAATATCCAGCATGGAGCTTTGGCGCTCTGGGCCGTGGGCACGTGCAAGGATAGGTCCTGCAGCCCTTATCGCAGGCAATGGAACTCAGGGACCAGAGGTGGGAGGCCCCTGAGCCAGCAGCTGCTGATAGATAGCAGCAAAAAGTGAAGAGGTCAGAGCCAGGCACTCTCGTCCCAACCCTAAAGAAGCCAAAGAGAACAAAACGCTTTGGGCCCTGCCAGCAGGTTGGGCAAACTGGGAGTGCATATGGTGGATGGAGGTCCTCCAGGTGCTGTAAGCAGCGGCTGCAACCCTGGTTTCTGCCAGTGCCAGGTAACCGAAGACTGGAGAAGGGGTGTTGACAGTTTGGGTTGTGAGGGGACAGGCTGTGCCCCCTAGCTGGGTGAGGTGGGAAAAACAGGCACTGCAGTGGGACATACACACCAAAGGGTGAGTTTTGCAGCCTTTTAGGAGGTCACCTGTATACCCCCATCTCCACCCCCTTCTTAAAGGCTGATGTGGAAGGCATCCTGCAACCACTGGTCACGGGCGTTGTGTGTCTGGGGCACTGTGAGGGGTGGTGGGTCTGGAGGCAGGCTGGCATCGGGAGGTTCTTCGTCGTCCGAGAGGCCACCATCAGGTGGGTAGGAGCTGTCCGAGTGCAGAGAGGATGACAGGTCCTGGCACAGGTGTTTGTAGTCCTGGATCGACTCATACAGGCTCCACAGCTGGCACAGCAGGGACATGTCCAGTTGTCGCAGCCCCACCTACAGAGAACTGAGAGTGAGCTGGGGTTCCAGTCCCATCCTCCTAGAATCCAGAGCCCCCAGCCCCGAGACCACACGTCAATCTTCTACAGTGCCAAGCACTGCTCCTTGTTAGTCTGAGCAAAGAGGGCCAAAGAGAAGAAAGAAGAATTCAGAACTCAAATGTTGATGGCCTTGCCTGCTTCAGATAAGAAGGCAAAAGGCCTTGCCTGCCTGGCTAAGCTAGCAGGTGGCCCGTAAATCAGAATGGAATGTCCCTCCCTAAAGACTGTTTATAAAAATCCTTCCCAGTAAGTTCACAGGGTGACTTCCCATTCTGCCTCTCCAGGATGAGGAACTCACCCGGGAGCTCTCCTTCCACCCCAACCCCCTTTAATAAAGCTGCATTAAGTTTTCTCTTGTTCTCTCTGATTTCTTCTTTAAATCCACTAACCTAACCTAAACTATGGTGCCGAAACCCGGGAGATGAGTTAAGGTGCTGCGCCCCTGCCTTAGGGTGAGTGCTGGCGCCCCTTACTCTCTTCCGAACCAGTCTGTGCAGTGTCGACATGCCTGAACAGTAAAGGAAAGTTCTGCTCCTCTCCCTCTCCCCTGTGCTCTGTGTGGGCAGCTGCTGACCAGATCTCTGCCCCTTTTGTCTTTCTGATCTCTGTGTTCTCCCTCTCCTTCTCCTGGAGGCTCCTAAAGCTAGAACCAATTGATTTCCAGGCATATTAAGCCTTTACTCCTCTGTTCCAAAGCTTTTAAGCTTTCCAGTCCAAACACTGTGAACTCCCATGAGAACCCAGATCTGTTCCATTGGCCTTCCATTCCACATACCCACAAAAAACACAGATCTGTGTTGGAAGGCCAACCAGAAATGCCAGGCATTTCTTCCAGGCTATGATGGCTCTGAGGACATTCACGCTGTCTATAGCCTCTCTCCAATG